CTGGACTACGTGGTGCTGACATCCGTGGACAGAGACGGTAAGGAGCTGACGTGCCTGAGGGCCCTGAAAGAGTGTCAGGACATGTCACTCAGGAGGATCAGGCCTGTTCTTCTGTAGTGGAAGACTCCATAGTGACCTTGTGTTCACTTCTGAAGATTCACTTCATTCTAACACCATCTTATGAGACTACTAGATGGCCAGTGTGAAGTGACGGCACAAGTGTTACAGTGCAGCCAGTCGAAATACTTAGTCGTTATGTGCCTCTGTCCTTTTTTCAATCAGATCTTGCAGACGGAGGTGCAGAACACTTTGCGATGACGGTGTCCCACTTGAAGGAGAGGTGAGATTTCAGTGTTTTCTTCCTTTTTCTTTGCCGACTTCCCCCTTTCAGTTGTGGGCTGAAGGGACTCGATGCCGTTAATGTGATATTTTTTAATTTGCTCTGAGACCTTGAAATTTAGTCACGCGTGTGGAGCTGACAGCTTTGTAATAGTTGTCTTTTTCTGGGACAGTAGTCCTATTGTTTTGTACTGCTGTTTTGAAATTCATTTTGCACAGACAATTACAAAGTTGTTCCATTTTTAATTAATTAGATGGAGTGACCCATGAATGACACAATTACCTTTTGCTTGTGGGCATACCTGAAACAAAGGTTAATTTTCTTTCCTCATAGACGACCTCTCAGCAGTATGTTTCTGATTCATGCTGCAGGAAGTACTTTAGTTTAACCTCGCAGTGTATGACATACCATTGTGTACCAGAATTACCATAGTTAGATTTTTTGCACTCTCTCCTGTGCAGACGTTTTAAGCTCTTGTGATAAAAGACCAGTTTTCCCACTGATATTTGGTCCTGGGGTGGCAGTACCACATTGTCATCTGGGAAACAGTCGGAATTAACCATGACATCGGTTCTTGGATTCCCCTGATAGATTCAGGAGCTGCTCCTTGTCTTGCTGGGGAGCTGCGGATCTAGAAAAAATCCCAGTAATCCCAAGAAACAGGTCATCCTCCTGTCACAGAAGAAATCAGCGCTAGGAGGCTACATCACCATACCATAGTTGCCAGGTGACTCACATAGAAAAGGCTGATGTCTTCTCTGTGATGCATTTTTCTCAGGAATCCTCAAATCCTGGTGGAGTGCCTGACTCCAGACTTCCGCGGAGACCTGCAGGCTGTGGAGAAGGTGGCGCTGTCTGGGTTAGACGTGTACGCCCACAATGTGGAAACTGTCAGAGAATTACAAAGGTCAGATGTCCTGCTTGACCTGACTCCTGATTTCTACATTTGCTTGTCTGTTTTATCTGATAGCAAGTCAAGTCAAGTTAGAGATCCTGACTATATAATATTGTTTCAACATGAACAACTGCAGGCATCTTTTTCCGTACCAGGACATACTGTATAATACTTCATTATCTCTCAGATGAGGCCCGTGTTCCACGTAACTCTGCGTCTTTTAATCCCTGTAGAGCATAATTGCCTTACACGGAGAAACCAAAACAGGCATAAATGATGGGCTTTAAAGTGTCTGGGTTGGGAGATGAGTTCCGAGTTGTGGATTACCCTTTCAGTGGAAGCTATCTGAAAGCAGAAGTGTACCGGGGTTTGGGGCTAGTGACCCCCTAATTAAGTACAGCAAGTATAAATCTGTGTCTGTGCTACATTAGATTAATATGAGACTAGAACCACTTCAGAAGTTCATGCTTAGTGACTTTATTCTAAACTAAATAGGTTTAGAATAACTCGCTTTTAGCTGTCGGAAACACACTTCGCTGTGTTTAAAATAGGAACCGCATATTCCCTTATAGATATAATCCTAGCTCCTAGCTGTTCTTATGAGAGTGAGGCGCAGAGTGTGTAGCTATCCCTGATACCGTCATAGGCAC